GTTCACAATCACATGTACTCATACTCACCTGAAAATTTTCGAAATTAAAAAAAAAAATAAGACAAAAAATCATGAGAATCGAAGAAGAAGAGAACCGGTTTAATGAAAATCGTACCTGACGGTATAGACCGAGTTTTATTCCATTTCGATTTACAAATTGAGGAATCGTATCGGAGAGATGAGAGTCCATCGACGACGATCTTCCTCAAATCGACTTTCCTTTTGATTGATTTGTTCTTCTCAACAATCTTCGCAACATCAGCTAACAGATTCCTCTCAGCGACGCTCGCGCATGGAATCAAGCTCTGTTCAAAAACCATGGACGATGATGAATTCACTAAGAGATAAATACCTTGAAATGTTTATAAGCGTCGTTAAGAGAATCGACGGAGAAACCAAACCAATCGAATTCGTCGTCGGAGCTATTCGTCGACGGTTGAAACAATTGCAGCGATTGCGTCCGTTTCTACCTTGTTTCTTGTTGGTTTCCTCCATGTAGTTTTGAACCATCTTCGATAAAGCGACAGAGCTAGGCTCGAACTCCGTTCCGACGCCGTCTTCGGAGGCGGCAGTAATGAGTGATTTATCCGAGTTTGAGCTTCTCAGAACATTCGTGAACGGCCGATCTAAGAGACGATTGAGGCGAGATTTGAGCACTGGTTTTCGTGATTCCACACGAGCTGAGTCTCTACTCGCCGGAAAATCGTTGTAAATTGGCTGGATCTTCATCGGAAAAGGCATTGATTATAGATCTAATCTGATTTCTCTCTCGGCGGAGTAAGGACCAAGTCACTTCTCCGTTCAAACAACAAATATATTCAAAAGTTCACTCAGAAACTTCCCCAGATTTTAGATCTCTTTCCAGGAAAATTCAAAATCGGAAACTCCACAGCTTCAAAACCTCACAAGAAGAAGAGAAGAAGAAACAAAATCTACTAAAAAACCTCTCACCTATTAGAAAGTAGAAACTACCAAGTAGAAAAACTATACGATCCTCTGAAAAAATCAGTAAGAAAATCGGAGATTCTTAACGCCGACGATTTTCACGGAAAACATGACGGAAATTGTCGGAAACATCATTACTAAGAACGGTAAAAGAGGAAAAAGTGACCGGATTACTCATTTTCCCGGCGATATTTGATTTGCCGGAGATTGATTTAATGTTTTGAGACAAATCAAAGAGGTAAATTGTCTATTTGAAAACGTAATTCTCAGTTTTTTTGTGTCCTTCTAGTTGGAGTAAAGCGAGATTGGTTGATTATATAGGTGCAGAGATTAAATGAATTCGGAAAAACCTCTCTCTGTTCTCTCTCTCATACCTTTCACAGAGAGAAGGCGATTTTCCTTTTTTGCTTTTTCGTCCGTTCGATCGGAAAAATAAATTATGGTATAACCAGATCTATATGTAATCATCTTTCCGTTCTACGGATTTCAGTTTTCCGGCTATGACCGGATTTTTCTTTTCCGTTTTCGAATCTCCTTTTGCTTATAAGCAATTGGTTTTTTCGATTTCGGACTTCGTGCTTCTTCTACAAATCTGGCTGCTTTCTTTTAAGAGGTGGTAAGGTGATGGTGGTGAAAGCTCCTACTCCAACATTTGGCATCGTCCTCTCATGGTTGGGATGTTAAATCTCCCTTGGTTCCCTCACGAAAAACCTTTTTCAAGGTGGAGGGTAATATATAGTCATGAGTCAAAGATGATCGAATGTCTTTTTAATGGAGGTGAGAAGATTTTTGACCACCCAAGATCTTTATTGTAGAAGAAGCTCTAGCGGCGGTTCACAAGCATCATCGTGAAGCCGGAAGCTGGAGGTTGAAGTGTCGTCGGCGGCGAGTTCCAGCGCACCAGAAACTAAAGTGGTTGTGCATGACGATATGATCTTCATCTTGACACGTGTCATTAGTGTTTATGGTTTTTACATCTGTCTATGTACGTGTCTAAAACTATCTTTGTATTTGGGCCGATATTAGGCCTTGTTTGTACCAACGCTTTACACCTTTTGGGGTTTCGTTATAAAACGAATGACGACAACAAAAAAAATATAGGTGCAGATATTAGACCAAAGCTGAAGAGACCAAAGAAGAAAATGGTGACTAGACAAGATGATGCCACGTCATTAAATTACGTGGTATTGTTTTTGGTTTGACAAATTGTGGGTTTGATTGGTGGCATTCAACCGCACTGTTGGGAGGAACAGTTGGAAAAATGCTACCAATCGGCAAAGTTAGTTGGAGAAAGCATTTAAAACCTCAATTGTAATCAGCGTTTGAAATGGACCGTTGAAAGATATTTTTTTGACGATTGGAAATTAATTTTAGGACGATTACAAACTATTAAAAAAATGACGTTTAGAGCAAACGAACGGTTGTAATCAGAATTTTTTTAATAATAAAATTTTTTAGTTTGATATTAATTTCTAATAAATAAATTAGTAAAGTTATATCATTCAATTCAATTCATTCGACAAAACAAAAAAATAAAAAATAGATGTGTTTGTATATTTAAATCAGTCCAAATTCTACATTGGTTGTGCATCTCTTTTTATAATCATCTTATAGATTATGAATTATAAAGTATTAGAAAAAATATTTATAAGACAATATTTATGCATTTTAAAGTTATTAAAAATATTTATCATCACTGATATTGAAAAAAATTGTTCCGTTTAACTTCTTAAAAGTAGTAAAATAATAATTATAATTTTTGTTTACTCAAATTTCATATGATAAGTTTATACTATGTAATATTGTATCATTTTATAAATAATTATCTAAAAAAATTGAACAAAAAGTTTTATACACTTATACTATTCAACCGCTGTAATGCTACCAATCAAGTATGATTTTCAACTATTTTCTGTTATAAACTCATCTTTTCCAACCGCTTTCTCTAATCACCTCTTTTATAATTGTCTCAGCTACAACCGCTCAAAATTCTCTAACCGTCTTATTTAAACGGAGTTATCAATCGGACCCCTCTCCAACCGACCTTATAATACATCTAAATCATTCTTTCTGTTAATCGATATCATAGTACATCTAAATCATTCTTTATGTTAATTTTTTCGAGATTGAGTTTAACTTTCCTTTTTATTTTGTAAATACATTGTAATTTTGTTTTATTTTTTTAAACCTTCTAGATTCAAATTTTTAAATTTGCACCAATGTTCAATATTTTTGTTTAACCACTTAAACATTTTCTTCAATTGAAAAAAAAATAGTATAGGGATCGAAATTAGGATCATTAATTTCACCAATTCCATTTAAACTATTAACGGAGCTTAAAGATGACGTATATTACCAATATTGATTTGTCCAATTTTCTTTGACTAATTTTCTTTGACCAATTTTCTAATTGGTTTGTCCATGAAAAAAAAATTAAATAGTTTCTAAATATTGACTACAAGAACATTTAGTCGTCTAAACTGGCTAGAAAATAACTTGAAATTAACTTATCTTCTCTATTAAAACAGCAGTATGTTTTGTGTTCAAACTGATTTTTTTTAGTTTTCTACTATTCTACAAGTGGATATCTATTATTTCTGTTGTCAAAATTTTTTTTTATTTTATTTATTTGTTTTATTTATTTCCAAAAATTAATAAAATAATATATTTAAAATTTATCTTTGAAATTCATTTAAAATTTTTTAAATTTTAATTCCGTTAGTTTAGATTTTCTAAGATATAGTTAGGATTAATCATCAAAATTACAAAATCAGTTGTTATTATATTTACAAAATAGTAAATAAGATATTAACTATTTTTAAAAAAAAATATTCAAATTTGAATAATATTCTGATACTGATAATAAACGAATACTTTTATTAATAAATTATTTTAAAATTTAAATATTTAAAATTTTAAAAATATATTATATATAATATGAAAAGATAGGGTAAAATTATGTTTTTGTTATAAACAAATGGACTTCTAGTAACCGGCAGATTAACCATCAGGTTAATGTCTCATGGCCCATTAGGGTTTCTGATACATTAGTTATGTAATGTATATATACACTGCTTATGGAAATAATAAGATAAGAGTTTTTCCCTTAATACGTTATCAGCACGAAGCTCAACTTCAAACGATCATATCTCTCAAAATAAAAGGAGTTAGAAGGCGATCTACATATCATTTTGAAGCCCTGGAAGAGAAGAATCTAGTGGTGAAAACCGCTCCTCAATCCGACACCAGAAGCGCCCTCACGACTCAAAACAATCGGCGCTGTCCCACCTTAGCGGGCGATTCTTTCCAAGCGGTGGTTCCTCCATTGTAGCAGCTGTTCGTCCTCCCTTCTGGCCATCATTCTCAGGAGTTTCCAGTAGATATCTGTGGTCTTTAGCTCCCAGATCATAAGCCGGTCAGAAATCCATTTGGCGAAAAGGTATTATCGAAAAGGTATTATCTAAAAATTATATAAAACCTAAACCCTAATGCTTTGTTCAAATCCTAAACCGATCGGTGCACCTCCGATAAAACCCTATACCGATCGATCCACCTAAACCGTTTATAAACCGATAAATTATAATCCTAAATCGATAGGGTTTAAGTTTAAACCGATCGGTTTTTCCTAATAAAAATTAAACCCTACCAAATCCGTTTAGTTTAATCCCTTAACCGATTAATAACCCTAATAACCAGTTTCCAAAATTAAATCTAATTTAACCGGTTTTGTTGTTTAATCGATCAATCCGATCGGTTTAAGCTTAATCGGTTAATTTCAAATTAGTTTCCAAAATCAATCTCTAGTTTTTTTTTTTTTTTTAAAAATGGTTAAGAGATAAACCAATGTTTATCTATTAGAGCTAAATTTGGAAACCCTAGTAAACCGGCTAGGTTATAAACCCTAAGGTTCGATTTTAGAGTTCTCTTATATAGCAAGTTTCCTAAAATAGCAAGTTTCCTGAAATGGAAAGTTTTCCCAAGAATACCTTAAATCCCTTATTCCAATGACCATAGTCTCATACTATGATATTTAACATAAATTATATATGTTTCAGATGTCAAACATTCAGAAGGTCGAATATGAGGCACTCACTGTCTCCGGAGATAACTACCTTAAATGGGCCCTTGACACCAAGATCTACCTCAACTCAAAAAGTTTGGGTGAATGCATCAAAGATCCCAACACCGCGACTCAAACAGAACGGTACTCGGCGATATTTATTATCCGCCATCACCTCGCTGAGTCTCTCAAGCAACAATACCTCACTCTTGAGGATCCACTCGAACTTTGGGTGGCACTGAAAAAGCGATATGACCATCAGAAAACGGTCATACTGCCCCAAGCCAAGTTCGACTGGAAGAACCTACGGTTCGAAGATTTCAAATCCATCGAAGAATTCAATTTCGAACTCTTTCGGATAGTTGCACTCATAAAACTATGTGGCGAGGAGGTCACTGATAAGGATATGCTAGAGAAAACATTCTCTACTTTTGGCACTCCCAATGTTGTTCTCCAACAACAATACCGTGCCATGAATCATAACACCTATGAGGATTTGATATCTTGCTTACTGCTTGCTGAGAAGAACAATCAGCTTCTGTTGAGGAACAGTGCCATGCGGCCTCCAGGATCAGCCCCATTGCCAGAAGGAACCAGAAAAGAGTCCAACTTTGTCCAACGTAACAGATCCTCAGATCGTGGACGTGGACGTGGAAATGGACATGGACTGCGCGGCAGAGGACGCGGTAGACCGAACCAAGATAACCGACCTAACCTCAGTTTTGGTCGGGGTAAGGGTCGTGGTATCAACAAACCGACCCAAAGAGGCAGTTCATCTAGACCAACTCCTTGCTCAAGATGCGGAATGACTAATCATTGGGTCAAGAACTGCCGTACTCCCAAATATCTTGCTGAGCTCTACCAGAAGTATGGGAAAGATAATCATGAGGCTAACCTGGTTCATCAAGTCAATGAAGATGACTCAAAGGATGATAAGATTGATGGCATGGATTATGAGCTCTCTGACCTTCTTGATTGATCTCAAAAATCTGAATTTGTTTTTCATTACTCCTTAAACTTTTATCTTTTGTTTTTGGGATTTATTGTCTTTACTTTGGATTTTTAAGACCTTTTGCTTTTACATTTTAATTTATGGAGTAATGTTTTATTTACATCTCATTTTTGCATGTTATTGAATTATAATTCTTGTTTAATGAAGATATGCAAGACAATATGGATATCATTGTGGATAGTGGATCGAGCCACACCATTCTAAAAGACAAGAATTACTTCATAAATTTAGTAATCAAAACCGCAAACATTAGCACTATAGCGGGTAGTTCGAGCCTAATAGAGGGCCATGGCCAAGCTAATGTGTTGTTATCAAATGGCACATATCTAGACATCTCTGATGCCTTATACTCACCCAGTTCTAAGAGAAACCTATTGAGTTTCAAAGACATAAGATTGAATGGTTTCCATATCGAAACTCAGGATGAAGGGAAAAAAGAGTTTTTAATTATCACTAAAATGATAAATGGCCATAAACAAGTTTTTGAAACTATACCCGCCGTATCTACTGGCATTTACCATGCTAAAATCAGTATGATTGAGGCTAATGCTGCTATCAAAGCACGGTTTTTAGATTACACTATTTGGCATGATCGCCTGGGTCATCCCGGTGCGAACATGATGCGTAAATTAGTCCAGAATTCTAAAGGGCACAGCCTTAAACCAAATGGTATTTTCCCTCAGCACCTTGATATATCATGGTTTTTATGGTTTTTAACCATGGTATAAGTCTTATTTATAGAGTCTTTTTAGTGTCTTTCGAGTCTTTTGGAGTCTTTTCAGGTCATAGGTACGTTTGGAGCTTAACTGGAGACTTTGGAGCACTTTGGAGCTTAATCAGGATCAAATTCGTCAAGTATGGATTTTGTGCTTTAGTGACGCTCGACACCATGGAGAGTGACGCGCGACACTTGTCAAATAAATAAGGAGAAAGGCGATTTTGTTTCCTATTTAAAGAAGGAGTTG